CTTCAACTAATTTACTTTATTCATTAAATATTTTTTCAATATTAATAGATATATCTGCAGATCGTAATACTCTCATATCATCGGAGCATAAATTCAATATTCGGATTGAATTACGTATAATGCAATGTATTATATAATATAAATATACATTATAATTTTTACATTATTGGATATTATAGAACTATTATTATTATATAAAATTTTCAATAAAAATAGATTTCAATAATGATAATGTATTTTATTTTAATCTAATTAGGATTTTTATAGAATTTTTGAAAAATAAATTATTTTGATTCATCTAATCTGTTATCAATATTAAAACAAATTTTTAAAATAATTTATATTTAATTTATATTAAAGTATAGTAATGCTTTATTTTTATTAATTATTTATAATCTGTCATTATTATACAATAAGTTCAGAATATCTGCCTTTTATTTTGAAAAGCAATATTGAGTATTATATATTTTAATACACTATAAATAAAAATTTATGTCTTGTTCTAAATGTACATAAGATATATTTTCTAGGGTTATATATCCAATAGTAGATGATAAATTCAAAAGATATATGATTTATTTTATTATTACATAATGAATTTAAACTATTTTTTAATATAAGGTATTCAATGTGTATAAGTATAATTGTTTAATTTCCATATATTTAGGTTTTATTTGTACCTTTTGTACAATTAATCAATTAATATCAACAAATATCAATTAATATCAACAAACATCAAGTTAATTTTTTTTTTATTTTTAATTTTTATTAATTTTGAAATATAGCTAGATTAATAACTGGAATCTTATCATTAGTAAGTATCAATTATTATCATACAAAAATTATCATATTCTTTTAAACTATGTTTTAGGTAGCGACTTACAATTGAATAGATCATACATTACTCATATATTTATTGTTTTATAATCAAATCTTAGTAATTGTTGAAGCTTTAAACTATGTAAATTGTAATTTTAGTTATTTTTCTTTTCTTAATCAAAGAAATATGAAAATAAATTTTGAATTTAATATTATATTATCTATACAAAATAAATGTAAATTATAACGTAATTTTTAAAAAAAATTGTATTAATATAATGTATAATATACATACATTATACGAATGAAGTTTTTTTAAATTTAACTGTATTTCATAAATATTATATTGATATAAATTTTAATATTATCAAATTTTTTAAAGACTGATTTATCAAACTTAAGATATGTTAATGATTGCATAAATTATCCTTAAACTAAAACTAGAATCTATATTATTCAAGAATGTAAGTAAATTTTTTAATAAATTTATTATTGATTAAGATAAGAATTTCATCGTGTAGATAATATTAAGTTATTATTAAAGTATGTACTATTTTAATGATCATGAGCTTTGTTATTTAAAAAATTATATCAATTAAATTAAAAATGCATTTCTTATTTAATTATTTATACATACTTAGATTATACAATATTTTATATACACGAAATTGTTTAATATTTGGATAATTTTTTTATCATGAATAATTGAATATCATAGGTTTCATTCAATTTTAGGAATAACAAATTTTAAATATTAAATTTTAAACGTTCTCTAGAGTATATATAAAATAATTGTATATTACAATATGATAGCTATGACACACTTTTATCATTGAAAACATAAATTACTTTCATATTAAACAGATTATCAAGGCCTTTCGACCTACAAATACATTTATCGAACATCAAATGAAAGTGGTAACACTAGATGATGCATCTTACAATATAACCGAGTTATTACTCCGAAAGCAAATAAGTCTTATTCTTACTCATTTGTACGATTGATAATATATATAAGTAATTATAAAATTATATAAAATTAAATATAATTCATCAGCTTCTGAATTAAGATGTTTTAATGCTTTAATATAATTATATATATATAGTATAATATTAGTTAAAAATATCAAAACCACAAATAAAATAGATTAGTTTTTCTTTTATATAAGTGATATTATATTAATATGTTTTAAATTTACTAATATCACAACAATTTGTTTAATGAAAAATTAATAAATATTATTCACAAATTATGAAATCAGCAAATTTTAATTTATTTATTGTAAATAAAAATGTAGAAGAAATGTAAGGAAAAATTTTATCTTAATTTAATTTGAATCCAGTTTTTAATATTGGGGTATTGTATTTGATACAATTATAAATAAATTTGATTCCATAAATATGAATGTAATTCAATTATTTTCATCAATGCTTTTTTTTATTATAATACATTTAACTTTTAACTAATAGTACTATTAAGTAAACATTTCTTAATAGAAATACAAATTCTATATTCCTACAAAATTAATTTTTTATGGTTTTAATATGATTGATGGATATTATATGAAGAGGTTATATCAAGTAGAATAAATCATACTAATAATTATTATAATGTAATAATTTTTAATTCCTTAATCTTTAAGAGAATAAAAATAGAAAACTGTTAAAATTTGATTGAAAAGGAAAAACACATATAAATATATAAATATAAAAAAAATATATAAATATATATGTGTACACATATAAAAGCTTATTAAACAGTTTAGCCCACAATTGATAATAATAGTAATATTTAAATGTATAATGGACAATGAAATTTTGTTTACATAAACTGTATATTAAAACATTAATTCTTTAGTATTATATAAAAATACATACACAGAAATAAATTTTAAAGAAAATTTCTAACATTTTTTATGGCTATTGAAGATAAACTTTAATATTTAAAATTGAATAGTGAAATAAAATCATAGTCAATTATCTTCGGATACTTTGATGTTAATTTTTTTATTATATTTGTAATTGAAACTATATTAAAATAAAATATATTTGTACATTCATATTAATCCAGACAATGTTTTCTTAACATCAAAATAGAAATTCATAAAATAAGTATTATTTAAAAAATATAATATTACAATAAAAAATAAAATTTTAATATTTTAATATTGCATGTTTAATTGTATTGAGATTATTTTACTTTTAAATAATTTAACATTAATATACTGAATATAAAAGAAGTGTATGTTGGTTTTCTATTCATAATTTTTATAACTTTATCTTTAATTAAATAAATTTTATTCTAAAAAACAATAAATCTAATAAATTAATATTTCATGAAAATATATATGGTATTACAAAAATTTACAAAACTATTTTTCCTTCAATTGTAGAATCAAATTTAATCAATTAAAGTGAATATTACAATTGAAAGGCATATATTTTTTACTTTAATCTTCAATTATAATTGAAAATGTATTTCTTCTTAAAGATTCTTTTAAATATATTTAAATTTTAAATGAATAATGAAGTGATTGAGTATTTATGAAATATTACCCAATTCCAAATTATTAAACAAAATATTTTGTCAAAGTTATTTAGAAATGATATTATTTAAAAATTTCTTCAAAATATTTATAAAATTAACATTCAATTTACAAATATTTTAAGTTTTTATAAAGTTATTGTTGTAAATTACTTTAATTTTGAAGTCTGTCTAATGAATAATATTGTTGAAAACTGTATTTTAATGTTTAACATTTTATTTTTAATCTTTTAATTCAAAATAAAATTTTTTTAATCTTACTTCAGATTATTATTCACTGTACTACAATAAAAACAGACCTTCTATATAATTCCTGTTTCACGTATCATGTATGAATAATTACTTTTAAAGTTGAATACAATCGTGATTTACTTGTTTGTATTTTCAAAGTAAAATTGTATGTGATTATATTTTTTACGAATCATTGATTCAAATTTATCATGCAATGAAAATGTTTCCTATCATCAAAAATATTCATATATTTACTATTATAATCTATGAGTTACATCTGTTTTTTACATATTACAACATTTTTGTGATTTCAGATGAAGTCAAAGTTTATATATAACTCTTTTCTTATCTGTACATACATTTTAAGCACCAATGTTTTCATACTTTATCAGTATTCATTTGTCAGATTATTGACGAGTAATGGCGATTTAAATCGATACGTCTGTAAAATTTATTTCATTATTAATAAATATCATTTGACTAAGTAGTAAAATTATACTAGTATTACTCTTTTACAAGCTATATTCTATCATAAATATTATATTATTTTACTTAATTTGGGATATTTCTTATTGAGAAAATATATTAAAAAATATATGTTTTTGTAAATTGAATTAAATAATGAGAAATAATACTTATATAGAAGATATATAATGATGATATATACTTATATAATGATAAAATTATTAAAATAGCTTTACAAGAACTGATCAAATAACAATTTTGAAAATCGAATGCTTAAAAAACTATAGAAACATTTGAAATTATTAAATAAATTATACTTTATTTTAAAAATTATTTATTTATATTAGAAAACTAATATAAATTAATAAATTTTAAGTAATTTTTTTTAGTTTAATCCGGGCTTTATAAAAATTACTTGCTACATTGAATAATATGAAAATATATTTATGTATTAATTATATGGATGAGCTGAGAAATTAAAATAATAAGTGTTATTTAGTTATTTAAACGTGAATTTTTATAATTTATATCATCAAAATAGAAGAAGAAGCAAAATCATTAAAATATATATCCTTTATTATAATGATAGTTAATATAATAGAATGTTTAGTAATTAATTATTTAAATGTCATTTGTAAAAATTAGAAAAAAATGATCTAATCGACGTTTTTCAATATATTTCATATTTTATAATTTCATTATATAATAAAAAGGAATTACTTGCAGCTATGAATAATTAGTTAATTATTGAACAATTAATGAGAAAATTATCAACAAATAAAAAAAATTAATAAAAAATCAATTATGTTATTACATTAATATTTGTTATGAATTATTTTGAGTGTAACTTAATTCTCATGTAATTGTTAACAGTAATATTTTTACGTTATCAATAAACAACAGTATGAATAGAAAATTCAACCTATGTTCAATGTCAAAGGTTAGAGAAGCTTTACCACAATTTCTTGCCGTCGGCGCAAAAAACCTCCTACTACTTACTTTTGGTTCCAGTCTTGGATTTGCTACAATTCTTATTCCTGAGCTACAAAAATCCAACGCAGTCATCCTAGTTACTCTCGAAGAGATCACATGGATCGGTATATATTTTATTTATATATGTCAATAGATCAAGAATATACAAATTTAATATTGCTATCTTAGTCTTATATTAATACTAATAATTATTTCGTTTTATTAACTTAATAAAAACAAATTATAATATAAAAATATTTTTATTTACGTATTATAATATATTAATTTATAAATTATATCAGTTAATTTTTTACAAAATTATATTACGATTCTCTTTTTTTTTTTAAATATAAAATAAATTTTTAGAATGGATATTTTTTAAATGCAAACGCATATATTATTATTAATGTCAAATTTTAGAAAGTTTCGATTTCGTTTATACTACCTTCGCATAATTTCCGCTGATATTGCTGCTGTATTATTTTTAATTATAAAAATCGGTAATTGACCTTGGTTTAAGCTTTGTATTAATATTTTTCTCTTATATTATGATTATAATTTATTATTATAGTAAAACTCTCTTTAAATACAGTTTTATAAATTCAATATTATGAAGTATATATGTCAATAATATCCAGACTCTATTTATAATATATAAAAATTTTCTATTCCTTGTATTATCTTATAATTGACTTTGGTGCATTCATAAATATATTACTCTTTATATATTCTTAAATATTTTAATTATGGTATAATATATACGTTTGATACCAATAAATATTGCTTTTGAAGTAAGATAAAAATATAAGATTAAAAATAATCATCATTGGTTAATTTATACAAATTTTGAATTATACGTATGCTTATCAGATTTTACCAATTTTACTTTCTCAACTATTTCTATATATATCAAATATATAGATTTTAAGCCAAGTGGTGATATAAGTGTATTTAACATTTTGATACTAAATTATTATTAATTCTGTTAAAAAATTGACAAACTGTTTTATTACAAAAGTATAATTAAATTTAATTTGATAAATTCTAAACTTTAACTCAGAGAAATATACAACATTCACAAAATCTTTAATAACTAAATAAATCATATTCTCTGATCAATAGTTTATACCATTAATCATTTAAATATTTCTAATAGAAATGTGAATTTTTTAAAGATACACTTATGTGTACCGAAAAAATTGTAAAGCGTAAGGATTTTTAATATCTATATGTCAATTTATTAGTAAAACATTTATTATCGTTTAATCTTAATTTTCACAATCTTGAAGTATATTCCGAAAATTTATATAATGTAGGAAAAAATAAAAAAATATTTTTAAATAGTAAATCAATTTAAAATTAAATTCTGAAATTTTAAATTACATTTTCTTAGAAAAAAATGTTATGATATATAATTTAAAATACCTAAATAATGACTTTAGTGAAACATATCGAGATAAAAAGACCCTAATTTTTTACAATAATTTATACATTATTTGAATAAGAAAATCGATAATATATCTTTCATAATCTCAATATCATCTAAAAGTTTTATGTTGAGCATTAAAATATTACAGTATAAGCAATGAATTTCAAAAAGTATAATCCAACCATAATAATAAATTATCATTTTTATAATTGTTAAATATTAAATATATTTCACTTGCTAATGTTTTTAATGTTATAATTCATAATATGCATATATGTGTAGGATATGTAAATATGTATAACAAAGCATTAATTACAATACTATTGTGAATCAATAGTTCATAAATAGTTCAAATTGTTTAATTTAAATTGTTGAATTTATAACTTAATTATTAATAAGACATGATTTTAACTATATTATAAATTGAACTAAATATGTAAAACAGTGTGTTCTATTGAATTAAATATAAATATTTTAACTGATTCAATAATCTTTTAAATTATTAAATGATTTTGTAAATATGTTGACGGCAAGTTTTTCATTTAACTATGCATTTAATTTTTTATTGCATGTTTTTCATATAATTTTCAGTATATAATTAAATATCAAATATTACTATGATATGTTCTGTAGTTGATTATATATTTTTAAAATATCTAAGAAAATATTTTTGTCTTGATTATTATAAATGGATTTATGCTCGTTAAAACAAAATTGATGTTAAATATAATTTTTTTTTTTTGTAAAATTCTTCGTCTAATATCTTAGATAACTTACTTATATGCGATTCATTGAAATATATTAAACTCATACAGTTTATTATTTTAATAAATTATTATATCAGTATGCAGCTATTTGATTTCAATATATTAGTATTTTAAAATTCTTTGTTACTTATATATCTTTATGTTATATTACAGTTATATATAACAGTTATATATCACAAAATATATCTTAACTGACATTACTAACATTTATTATTAATTACTTTTATATTAACAAACAGAACTGATGATATGTTTAATTTCAGGTAGCATAAACCTTTTTTTATTACCACTGGGCGGTTTTGCAAGCGGTGTAGTGTCTCAAAAGCTAGGTCGGCGACGAACTATGATGATCTCAACCATTCCTTTTATCATAGCTTGGATCATTTTTTACAATGCTGTGAGCAATAATATGCTCTTTATTGCACAAGCTTTAACAGGTCTAACTGGTGGACTTTTAGAGGCACCTGTCCTTACATATGTTGCTGAAGTCACGCAGCCTCATCTACGGGGTATGTTATCTGCAACTTCGACTATGGCTGTAATGTGTGGTGTTTTCACGCAAATGTTAACTGGAAGTTTAGTAGAATGGAGAACTGTAGCCCTGATCAATTTAATTTATCCAATCCTCTGCTTCATATCTCTTTATTTAGTACCAGAAAGTCCTACATGGTTGGCAGGTAAGAATACGCTTTTAACATTTATGTTTACATCATATATTTTGTTAATTTTTACTTGAAATTTTTTATGTTATTTTTCATTTTGAGGCATTAAAAATGTAAGCATTTCTTCTTTGTATTTTCTACGTTAACATTCAAAATAATTTCTTCTTATTTCAGATTTACTCATTCCCTAGCACATAACCATATACATTCAGATAAATTATTGTAACCCTGATTAAAAAGTGTAATTGTTTAATTTACCACAAAAATATTATATTAAAATCTTTATTTTAGTTGAAAAAACATTATCTAATAAAACCCGCTCATAAATTATTCTATTTTTCGTAAATTTATATATATATATATATATATATATAAACTAAAATTATAAAATAAAATTATGCTGGATATTATAACACCAACGCTTATGAGTATAGGCATATTATGTAATGTAATAATAAAAAATATAGATAAAATACTTGACGAAAGAAAAGAAACTAGCAACAAATTTTTCAAATAATATTTACATAATGAACTGTTTGAAAAAAAATGTTAATATTCTATGATTATAATATAAAATAATATGTTTTGACTTTTCATATACATATTTATTAATAAAATTACGAGACACAAATGACCTATAATTTAAAAATTCGTTTAAAATATTTTTGAGATAGCAAGAAGTAATTTAATAGTAATTTGTCCTCATAATTAAAGACTTTTTTTATCAGTAGATTTAGAATGGATTGATTATTTCTATTTATAATATAATGTATTTTAGCCTCAAGATCATTTTTTCTACTGCAGAGATTTTTTCGGTATACTTTAATATAAGTGAAATTGATGGAAGTATCTAACTTATTGATAAAAATGCCAATTTATATATATTTATTGCAGATATTTCTTAAAATACAGAAATTGTTTCAATTTATCATATGATAATATACAGGCTACTTAATCTGATGTGTCTGTAGATAAATGCATATACAGATAAATTAAGATGGAATCTATCGTTCATTATTTCGTATTCATTAATATTTTATATCAAAGCTATTGAGAAATAATTCTTAATCTGGAAAATTCTGGAAATATATTTTTTTGGAAATATATATATATATATATATATATATATAAATATACAAAGTAATTTATTCAATTTTATTTCACACTTTTAACCCTATCCGATGTTTGTATGTATTAAAATAATTATAATAATTGTAATCATGTGTTTGAAAAATAACTAGTTTTTTTATTTTCTCAATGACAATTTATAATATTTATATTTACTATTTTTAGGTCAAGGTCATTTTCAAAAAGCTGAAAAAAGTCTTTGTTGGTTACGCGGTTGGGTAAACCCCGAAGATGTTAAGGAAGAATTCCAAGATCTTTGCAGAAACTTTCAAAAATCAATTAATATGACATCCATTCATTCTATTACTTTGAAGAATAATATTAAAAAACAGGAATCAGCGAAAAAGATATGGGAACCGTACCTGAAGAAAACTTTTTATTTACCTTTTTCTATTGTTGCTTTGACATTTTTTGTAAATGCTTTTGGAGGTGTTATGGTCTTGCAAGTTTTTGCTGTGGTGATTCTCGATGAACTTAAAACTCCTATTGACAAGTGAGAAAATAATCATTTCATTATTATGGAATAAACAATGAATTTCATTAATATATATTTTTAAGGCTATCTAATAATTACAATATTTTTTTAATTATTGGGAAATTATTTTTTAACTCGTAGTTAATACATGCAAAATAAATATTTTGAAAAATATGGAATTTAATATTTTTATTAATTTAAATTATATATATACAAATTTTTTAATAATTAATAAATAACTTTAAATTATCACGACTAATTATTTTAGAGAATTATAGTAAAATCATTTAAATTAAAAACGAATCATTTAGATTGAATTTATTATTCTATTTTACTCAATTTTTATAATACTTATACAAAGAATAAATATTTTCTTAAAGATTTACTTAAATAATGAAATTTGAAATATTTGACATTATTTTCATTTATTTATTTAAGAATTATTTACTTAAGATATATATGATATAAAACTTATGTTAATTTGAAAAATTTCTGAAAGTATTATGTAAACTTTTTAGATACCAAGGCATAGTGATAATTGGTATAGCCCAGGTCGTTGGTACAATGATATGCGTTTTCATCATCCACTTTACTGGTAAACGCAAGCTCTCTTTTTTTTCGATCTTTGGTACTGGTGTATCTCTCTTCTTAATATCCGTTTACGGATATCTTGTCATATATAACTTAATTGATGACTTCAAATATACTTGGATACCCACTAGCCTTATGATTATAACAGCATTTTTTTCTCACGTGGGTCTTAAAATGCTCCCATGGATATTGGCTGGCGAAGTCTTCCCAACCGACATCCGTAGTATTGCTACCGGAGTCGCTAGTTCCATCGGTTATATATTTTCTTCTATAGCAAATAAAGTATTTTTGTATATGAAAAATGGAATAACCTTACCTGGAACATTTTTAATTTATGCAATAGTAAATTTTGTAGGACTTATAAGTTTGCACTTCATATTACCGGAAACAGAAGGTAGAACACTTAAAGAGATAGAAAATCACTTTGCTGGTGTATACAATTTAAAAAACAATTCAAATAAGAAAAATTTGAACTTCAAAGAAAAGTGGGCTATTGATAATCCTCATACAGTTAATGATGAATTAGAGAATCGAATATAAAATCATCTTTTATTTTCTTCCTCATTATTTTTTTCTTTATTATTTTGTTTTATTCGTCTGCTTTAATTAATTTATTCTATATAATTTCGTGATAAGATAATGTTATTATTATTTGAAGATAAAGTAATATCGTTTTTGATGAATAGATAGTTATCTTAAAAATACATTATATATTTTTTTAACATAAAATTTGAATATATACTTGATATATAAATTATTTTTATAATAATAAATATAAAGGTAAAAGTTGAGATTTGATATTCTAAATTATTTAATATATTTAATTTCATAAAACAAATACCTCAGTTCAATTGCTAAAGCTTGAAAAAAATTTTAGTATAGTTTTTTGTAATATTTATTATATTATTAATATAATAAATACTATAATAACTAATAATATTAAAAACACATTAGAGAGAAAAAAATTATTTTTATTATAAAATCATGAAATCTATATATTCACTTGAACATAGTAATTAAAACAAAACTTAATTACGAAAAAATGCACTGTAATATTCTTAAAATAGCGAATGAATTAATTACACTTTTTTTCAACGATAAATTATTATTGAAGGATTTGATTTAAAAATAAAATTAGAAATTTAACTTATTTAAACTAATAATTTTAGAAGAAGTTTTAAGTAAAACATTATTTAATAAAAAAAGGTTAAATAAATAAAAGTTTTACAAATTTCAACTTTTCCAACAATTTCCTTAAAAATTAAATATCTTATTCTGGAAATATTAATTTAAAAATTATAATTTATCTTGTCCTAATTGAATTTTATTGGTTTTTTTATTAAACAAATATTTTTATATAATATTAATTTAATTATATATATTACCTAAAATAAACTTTGTAAAATTATACTGAGCACTTTAAATAATATATATAACTTCCGTTATTTTATATATTAATTATATAATTGTGTAGTAACATATATTAATTATATCTTTCTGTTATATATATATATATATATATATATATATATATATATATATATATATATATTAATTACATCATTATATTATATGATATATTAATTATATCAATAAGATATAGTCAAAATTTGATTATAAACATATTATAAATTTAAAATAAACGTGAAACAAAATTTTATATTATTAATTTGAAAATTCTGAATAGTCATAATATTCATATAATCTATGATATAAATTTAATCAAAACTTTATTTCACATCTATTTTTTATGTGTCTATTGGATATTTATTATAAAAAATATTAGTTAAATCTTTATTGTCTGTTTTTATAATATTCATGTATGATACTATTTATCTAAATATATGTTAAATTATTAACATTCATAAATACAGATGGACGACATGCCCTGTTAATACAGTATCATATAATTATATTTGTTAAATTTCAAATTTGTTCATAAAAAGCAAGATTTATTTGTGTTTTTATATATATTACATGACTCAATATTAATAATATTAATAAGAACCATAAGAATCGTTATAACTCACTGAAAGATACAATTCATAACATAAGTTATGAAGTAATAATCATCATATAAGTTATATAATTATTTTATTATGATTTTAATTAATAAACATTGTATATTAAGGCGTCAACTTTTTATAATATTATAAATAGTTTTTAATATATTAAGATCTTCTTTTGAATAAATAAATTATAATGTCTATTATACTATTCGAATTCAATACCACGTTCTTAAAAATATTAGAAGTTCACAATAACCTTAATAATAAGAATATTTTATTGGACAAATCAGGTTTATTTATTCAAACTAATTTTGTTTTTTATTGTTTATAAGAAATGAATTACGAAAGTAATAATATTATACTTTATAAATATTATCTTTCTTTTTCAATATTCATTTAATCGTATTTGTTTTCGTTAAAAATTATGAAATAATTAATAATTATAAATGGAAATAATAGCATACAAAATAGAAAAGAATTGAAATGTAATTAGATTTATATTTATATTCTTATTTATATACCTAAATTTAATAGACAAATATTACTCTTCAGTTTCTTTGTTTACAGTATAAAATACTAATGAGTCATCAAAATAACAATATTTTATTGTATAGATAAGTTAATAATTTTACACTATTTTGAATTATTAAAAACATTTTAAAAATTATTAATTATTGAGTATAAACCTTAAATTATTACTTAACCATATATATTTTGGTTTATATCAATATTAAAAACCGAATAAACTCAATAAGAAAACATAATATTTATGTTTAACCTTGAAATTACTATTCATTATCATCATAAAGATTAGTAGTAAACTCATTTAGTTAAGTTGAAAATATTGCTTTTTCATTTATTTTATGTGATAAAAAAAATTAAATATCTAATTAAGCATAATTTGTATACTCTAATTAATTTGAATTCAACACTTTATATTACTAAAATGTATAAAAATTTTTATATTATTTATCTGTTTAATATACCATAATTAATTATGAAATTTTATTTTGTTATATATGTAAAATAAGAAGCATGATAATTACAAATAATTTATCCGATTTTTAACTTAATCATAATCTTTATAACAAAAGTTTAATTTCCTTTTAAAAATTAGATATTAAGTTACTATTTTGCATAAAAAACGTGTAAAATAAAATTCGCTGATTCTTTAAATATCTACTTTTAATAAAGCAGCGGTAAATTTAAATTTATCATTCAATTCCTAGCTATTCGTATCTTTTGCCTATCATTGGAAAATATAAATATCATGTATAAAATTATAAATTATAAAATAGTAAACTTTGTTAAAAAAATTTCAAAATATATAGTTGGATAACATTCATGAATAAAATATTTATTTGCTGTACAGAAAAGTATTAAAAGCGCCGAGGTGATAACGATGGCTCTAGCGGAAAAGTTGAAACACTCAAATATGTTAACCCCTACTGTTCGTCTATTTGTATATTGATGCATCAAATAGTGAGATACTGCATCTGCGCAGGCGCTCAAGTAGAAAATACTTTCGGATTTCGTTTCCCTCTCGTTTCGTCCTACGCTTGTATTTCATCTTTTAATTGCATCTCTTCATTTTTACCGTATCTTCTATTAGCCAAATTTTATTGTCTCAACTTTCACACACACACACACACACACACACACTCACACAGACACACACACAAACAGTCCGACGCGCGCGGGCGCTTACACGCGCATACACACATTCTCACTCTATTTATTTTACCCTAGTGGAAGAGAAAATGATCGATATTTTAGCTATAGTAGAGACCACAGTGGCGCGAAACGCATTCAGTACTACTCTTCATCGGCGTAATCGTCGAGGCCACTAAGACAGAAAGTCATCATTTTAGTCTTTTCTTGGGCACGAAAGACAGAAAACACGGTAGACGAACAAGAATCAATACATATATACTAATCTATATCATATATACGTGTACACATACGTTTATGCATAGCTTTTCGTTGTTTCTTGAACCGTCTAAATTTGGATTATCATTTTTTCCTAAGTTTTAGAAAAAGGTAAAAAAAGAGAAGAAAGAAAGTGAGGAAGATATACACACATACACACATACACACACACACACACATACACACACACACACACACACACATATATATATATATATATATATATCAAGAGAGAGAGAGAGAGAGAGAGAGAGAGAGAGAGAGAGAGAGAGAGACAGACAGACAGAAAGAGTGAGAGTGTGTGTGACAGAGGAAGCAAACCTGTGAAAGAAGAAGGAAGAGTCTAATGCAAAGAAAAATTATTACAATATAAAACTGAAAAGTGCTTTCATATACAAAGAAAAATTGATACAATAATATATAGTTTACTATTTTAACTGGCTTATAGTTATAGTTTGTTACAAACGTCAGAAAGTCAGCTCATTGGATTATCTTCAACGAGGTACGAGTAAACAAAAAATAATGAATAATTATATAGAAAATTGGATTTACACTGCGAAAAACGTTCCTCTAGAAGAAAACAAAAGGAATTGTGTTAACAGCCCCATATTTAAATGTTTGTGTTGTTTGAATTTTAATGTTATAACTATTAATATTGTGTATACGAAATAAAGTATTCGTGATATAAAAACAAACCAATCATGTTAATGGTAGAGGATTATTTTTCTCAGTGTAGATGTGCGGTAAAGGAAAATCTGCTTAAATTGCATTTATTCTTTAACCAATTTTTCATAAATTTTTCTTAAATATGTGTTTGTATGTATAGAGGTCTAAAAATTATTATAATACTATTATATAAATTCATGAAGCTGTAAGTAAAAAAAGTAGATAGAATTAGAAATGTATTATTATTTCTATTAGTTTGTTTAAGTTAGTATATTTAAGTAGAAATATAATACAAAAAGGAAGGGAAAAGGTGTCCCGTTAACTATCGTAAGCTATGAATTTTTGCGATCGATTCTATTTCTTTTTCCTTTAGTCTGTAGCTATCATCTCCCCTCCCCCGTTTTTATCTTTAAAAATTACTACCAGTAACTACGCACGTGCTAACATTATAAATATAAAATTATGATTACAAATAATGAAACACAAATGTTATTTAAAAATAGCGTAATGATTGATTAAACGGAAAATGTAAATAAAAAGAAAATAATTTTAGGAGAATTAATAGATTTTAGAAGAAGAAAAAAATTAGTTATCAATTATTTCATTAAATAAATTATAAGCTAAAAGATTCTTTCATGTTCGTACCATTTATACAAAATATCAAATAAAGTAGGGAATATATTCTATAATATATTGGAATAAAATATATTAAAAAAAAAACTTAAAGCGATGCATTGAAAAAATGCTCAATTAGAAAACTGATAAAAGATAAATTGATTCTTTTATAATAATAATATTTGTATAGTTTACTTTATAACATTTAATTTTTTAGTATTCCCATCAATGATTATTTATGAAGGAAAATAAGTTTGTATAAATGCATTTTCTAAATAACAATTATTATTTTATTTTTTATTCTTTATTATTCATTATTAT